TAATAATAAAAATAATTCTGATATTGAGACGAGTACTTATACTCATACTGATACTCATAGTAATATTATATTAATACTGATATTGATATTGACACTAATATTGATACTCATAGCAATATTAATATTAATACTAAAACTAATAGTAATACTTATATTGATAATGATAATGATACTAATACCGATACTCATATTGATACTCATAGTAATACTAATACTAATATTGATACTCGTACTGATACTCATACTAATATTGATACTCATACTCATACCGATACTCACAATCATACTGATACTCGTACTAATACTGATACTAATATTAATATTGATATTGATACTAATACTAATACTGATACTGATAGTGATAGTGATACTAATATCGATATTGATATTGATATTGATACTGATACTCATACTCATATTGATACTGGCATTGATACAAATGTTGATACTGATACTGATACTGATACGGATACGAATACTGAAACTAAAACATAAATTGATACTGATATTGATACTGATAATGATATTGATATTGATACTACTGATACTGATCGATGTTGATACTGATACTGATACCGATACCGATATCGATGTCGATACCGACACTGATGCCGATACTAATGCCGATACCGATATTGATATTGATACTGATATTGATACTGATATTTAGACTAATATTAATATTAATAATAATATTAATACTAATACTAATATTAACACTAATATTAATACTAATATTAATACTAACACTATTAGTAATACTATTACTAATACTATTATTAATACTAATACTAATACTAATACTAATATTTTTTCTAATACTAATATGTTAATATTGTTAATGTAAATGCTAATGTACATATTCTAATGATAATACTAATTTTAATGTTAAATATTAATCTGGATATGCTTATGTTGATTATAATTGTAGTACTAATATTATCCAAATCCTTATCATATTCCTAATCTTATTCATAACACTAATCATGATTCTAATCCTTATCATAATTATAATCCTAAACCTATTTCTAACATTAATTATAATCCTAATAATTTTACTACTAATAATACTAATGTTAATGCTAATGTTAATTCTAATTTTAATGCTAACCATAATCCTAATTATAATGCTAATCATAATCATAATACTAATAAATGTCACTAATTGTAGTACTGATCAATAATAATAATCTTAATTATAATTCTAATACTAATATTAATTATAATCATAATCCTAATATTAATTCTAATGCTATATTAACCATAATTACATCCCGAATCCGAATCCTAGTATTAATATTAATACTAATTCAAAGACTATTAATTACAATCCTAATTCTAATGCTAATCTTAATCACAGTCCTAATTCTGATTTTGCATCAATGTTTTTGCAATTATCTATTATTTTTTATAAAAAAACAATTATATTCAATCTCGCAACTTTTATATCTAATTCCTTATGTGTGGTACCTGAAACATCAAGAAACACATATTAAATATATTAGAAATTAATATTTAATTATATTATCAAGTTAATATTAAAATTATTTAAAATAATATAAGGGTATAAGCAAACGTTAAGACGTGAAAATAACAAATTGTTGTTAATAGGATAAATTACGAAAATCCTCATGAACTTAGGCTAAATTACAGAAAGCACCCCTACTTATTGGTAATTACCAAATTCCCCCAGATGATTGTTTATGTCTTACACGACCCTCTTATGGTGTGATTTTTTAGGGAATCTTTTTTATTCAATCAAAAATTGTGGATTCTACCCTTGCAGACGTGACATTTCTTTTATCTTACTTTTTAAATACAAAAATTACCCTTATGGGAGGTAATAGTAATACTAAAAAGTTGTGAAGATGTCATTTACGAATAATACATATCTCGTGTAAAGTTCCCCCTCAGGGTAATTTTTGTCTTTAAAAGTTCCATAAACAAATGTCGTGTGCATGATAGAATCAACATTTTTCGGGGAATATCCACGTAATAAAAAAAATTGCGTGAACAATCATACCGTAAGGGGGTCGATGTAAGACAAAAACAAACATTAGAAAAATTTTGGTACTTACGAATATGATATTAAATTAGTAAAAAAGATAAACATATTCTTTGGTCATGTTCATGTAAAATGTATAATATCAAATAATTTATTTTGCAATATTTTTTTTATATAAATTCAAGTTTATGAATTAAAATACAAAATTTTCGTAACACCATCAATCACACAATTATAATAAGTGAAGATTTTAAATTGAATTTAAATTAAATTAATTATTATTTAAATTAAAAAATAAAACTATTTAAAGTTTCCAAGAAAGTTGATATATTTAGAGCATTTTATAAATGGTATGACTAAATATATAATAAAATAATTTAATATCTTTTTACTTTTGGAAAATGGTGACATGTTTTTTGATGATTTATTTTCACCAATCAATTTGGCACATGGAATGAAATTGAATACATGTCACCAATTGAAATTGACAAATGTCAATCAATTATGTGTGGAATTCAACTTTTATATATTATATAGATTGCTATATTCGGTTTATCATAATTCGTTTGCTATCATTAAATATATATATTTACTCTATTGTAAGTAGTTTTCAATTTGTATATTTTTTTGTAACTTATATATAATTGAGCAATATCAATTTCATTTCTATATAAATTATAAAGCCTCCAAAATTTACTCAAAAAAAAAAAAAAAAAAATAAAGCCTCCAAAAGGGTTGTT